TGAGAGAAATGGATACATTTTTCTACACTTATGAATGCTAGTGCAAAAACTAGAATGCATGCTATTATATATATACTTTTAAGGATTTCCTGTTTCAGTCTTTGTCAATTGTCATTGTACATGAATGTTGTAAAAATAAGATATGGCAGGGTTTTTATACTAACTTCAGGGAGAATCTGTAGACTTGTAAAAACTTTAGTTTGATTCCGTCGTTATTGTTAACATGATGCTAGAATCTGTTATTCTAAACAATGGAAGTTATTTAGAACTGTATTTGGTAAGTTGGCATTTAATCAGTATTCTTTTAATGAGCTTCTGAAATTTTTTTGTACTAACAGTTTGTTTTTTGTTTTATTTATGGCCTTCCAACTCTTTGGATCAAATATTCCTGTTGTGTTACATCTTGACTTTTAGAAAGCCACTGTCATGGAATTCAGTGTATCAGCTGCCTCAGGACTAAAATCAACATACAGGGGGTCTTAAGTTAGATCCATTTTCAGTGTTTATTGAATAAGCTTTCAACTCCTCTCTGAATGGTGTGAAATAACTAAGTTTTTAATAACATATAGTAAGATAATTTTATTAATAATTACAACAACAATTAGATATAATGTAATATACAAAAATACATCATATGAGGAATAAAATAATTATTTCCAACTATATTCTATACAATTGAATAGAGCTGTTTAAACATTTGTTGAACAACAAGTAAAATCTTGGAATGGTCTATTCTTTCATTGGGGGGGGGGGGTGTCTGTGAGACAGACTAGTTTCGGAGAATTCCACTCCTCATCAGCTGCCCAGTGTCGGCTAACAATACGAAGAATTGTGGCAGAATGCTGCAAGTTCTTCAAATACCTATAGAATGATAGGTTTCTCTTTTGTGAGTGTAAAACACTTAAATACACCATTTCAATTTTTGATACCTCACTACTGTAAAGACTTGGTTTGGTCTGATATTTCATTGGTGGTAGTGTCCAGGGTCACTCATGAGGAGTGGAATTCTCTGAAACTAGTCTGGCTCACAGGCACACACCCAATGGAAGAATAGACCATTCCAAGCCTTTACTTGTTGTTAAACAAATGTTTAAACAACTCTATTCAATTATGTACCAGCTGCCCAGTGTCGGATAACAACACGAAGAATTAAATTGTGGCGGAATGCGACAAGTTCTTCTAATACCTATAGAATGATAGGTTTCTTTTTTGTGAGTGTAAAACACTTAAATACACTATATTGTATACATTATAAAGTCAAATGGAGTTATAAGTGATGAGATGAAACTTTCATAATATAATATTGAATGTGAAGTTAAGGCTGTTGTTACTTTTTATTATTAGTTTTTAATCTGTTACAAATTCAAAACAAAATATTTGGCAGTGTTGTACTGATGTTTAGGAAAGATCCCGTTGTTGATACAATCAACTGAATAATATATATACAGTCTAAACTTACCTCTATTTTTGAACTGTGTTGTTCTGGCTAGAGCTAGTTATCTGATATAATCAATTAATGTCATGTTAAATAGCCATATAGTGCTCCAGTTATTAGTTTTTAATTATTACAGCAATCCAGTAATCAATGTGATTATTAAATTGATTAATGTCACAAAAGTAATCAACTAATGAAAGTTAATGTTTCTGATTATACTAACTAATCAGTTATAAAAATATTACCATTATGATTTTTCATTACTGTTTTTGACTAATTCATGTTTACTGAGGTGAATTGATTGGTGGCACAACTCACGAAAATAATCAAAATGAGGAATTCTGATTATTACTATTCTTGGATAATCCATCTCTCGTAGGGGTGGCCTGTTTGTATTGTCTGATGCTTGGACAACATATTTTACCATTATATTTTGTCTGTTGGACAAGTACTTTTTTAACTTATTTACTTATTTTTTGTTAAAGATTGGGAATTACTATATTTTTGCCAATATGACACTGAAATAGAAGTGTTACACTTAAAATTGCACAAGCACAAATGTACAAATCAATAAAAATAGATACCAATTTAAAATATAAATTTAATACCATAATAATATTGAATATTTTAAACAAATGATTTCTAATAATCTACAATTCCAACTTTAATACCTACTTATTTACATATTGTATCAAAACAGTTAATTTCTGATTTAAAATTTCATATTACCATGCACTCAGTAATGCACCACCTACACCACCTTATGCCTAACACCTGAACACAACTCAAAGCTGTAGGTGAAGCTTGTGTTTAACTGAAGTAATTCTACAATGACTGCCATTTTATGTTAACTACTAGAACTTAGTCTTTAACTGAAGTAATTCTACAATGATCACCATTTTATGTTAAATACCAGAACTTAGCCTTTAACTGAAGTAATTCTACAATGACTGCCATTTTATGTTAAATACCAGAACTTAGTCTTTAACTGAAGAATTCTACAATGATCACCATTTTATGTTAAATACCAGAACTTAGCCTTTAACTGAAGTAATTCTACAATGACTGCCATTTTATGTTAAATACCAGAACTTAGTCTTTAACTGAAGTAATTCTACAATGATCACCATTTTATGTTAAATACCAGAACTTAGCCTTTAACTGAAGAAATTGTACAATGATCACCATTTTGTGTTAAATACCTGAACTTACCCTTTAACTGAAGAAATTGTACAATGATCACCATTTTGTGTTAAATACCAGAACTTATTCTTTAACTGAAGTAATTCTATAATGACTGCCATTTTGTGTTAAATACCAGAACTTAGTCTTTAACTGAAGTAATTCTACAATGATCACCATTTTGTGTTAAATACCTGAACTTACCCTTTAACTGAAGTAATTCTACAGTGACCGCCAAAACCAAAAACCAAGATTCTGTGTATAGTTTAATATTCTGAAAATGATGTAAAATTTATAAATAAATTCATTATAGTAGAATACAACAGTATTATGTCAGTCTCATTGTTATGCATTTACTGTAATTTTTCATTCAGTTGAACTTCTGTCAACTTAAACTTTTATATTTTCCTAGAAGAAAATGTCCAACACCACTAGTTGTATTTACTTGGGAAAATGTTCTACTTTATCATAGGTTTTGATGAACTGTTTACATTTTAGATATACTATTGCAGCTTAACACTTTCACATGTCCAGTTCTGTTGAATTTTTGTTTGTAAAAGAAGCACAGACAGGTTGAAACTTGAATCCATATAAATTTGCTGCTGTTCCATAGTAGTGAATCTAAACTTTATTTTAGACTACTTTACATGTTACTGTGTATCTACCTACTCTTTGTTATTATTACTTGTTATATATATAATGTAAGTTCTGAGAACAAAGTTGGAAAGATACAAACTGAGATTTTTGTTTATTGTTTTCAGAACTTGTATAGAAATGGTTGAGAAACTTGATGATGTCCCAGATGTAGAGATAGATACAGGAAGATTCAAGTACATCTTAGTTAAAGTATTTCCAAAGAGGCATCAGGAGTCACATAAATACATTGTACGAGGAAACAGAAATGCAGCGTATCATGGAGATATATTGGATGATGTAGAGCCACAAGTGAGCAAGTTAAAATTGGAGTGTGACTGTGTTGGAGGTGGACGTATCATTCACGATCCAGAAGCAAAACGTCTTGAAGTATTTGGATATTCTCAAGGTTATGGAAAAGCTGATCATGCTGTAACTTGTGAAATATTGAAAAAGAAATACCCAGCATACCATATAACGTGGTCTGATTGTGGATACTGATTAAATTTGTTTAAGTTTTGTATTATTAATAAATCAATTTTTCTTAAATGTAAGTGTTAGCAAGTACATTTTAAAGTACTTTTGTTAGTGGTAGTTTTTATATATATGTAATGTAACTTTTTTATTTTCCTATTTAGCAAGTTTTAATTCTTTAAAAAGAGATGTTACCTACAAAATTGTTTTATTTTTCCCTTTTCAATCAGACTTATCAACAAATACAAGAGAACCTTAGAAGCCATTAACCTGAATAATTTGAAACAAATTTTACACAGCAGATAGAAAAAAGCTAACTTAATAGATAAGCTTAGTTTGTAATGTAATAAATAAAATTAAGTACCTTTTACTCTTTGTGTAGATTGTCCTCCAAAATTTAACTCTGTTGTTTGTGTTTCTGATTGTAGTGGTTCATATATTGCAAATAATGAATTTAGGTTTAGTGCTATAATCTTGGCCAACTTAGTTTTAAGTATTAAAGAACTTGAGTCTATATATTTGTATGAAACTATGGTGGAAATATTGTTGACAGCAAGATAGTTTGCTTGCAGTCACCTCAGTTTCCTGCTAGATGATACCCTAGCGCAAAGAACCTTCACGTTGTTTCACCTATAGTACTTTCATGGGCCTTTTGTGTTCACTGCACACACTTTTCTGGTGAGACAAAGCAGGCAGAAGGCATTCACATTGTTTCACCTATAGTACTTTCATGGAACATTTGTGTTTACTGCATGCATTTCTCTGGTGAGATAAAGCAGGCAGAAGGACCTTCACATTGTTTAACTTACAGTATTTTCATGGACCTTTTGTGGTTACTGCATGTGCATTATCAGTGAGACAAAGGAAGCAGAAGGACCTTCACATTGTTTAACTTACAGTATTTTCATGGGCCTTTTGTGATTACTGCAGGTACATTATCAGTGAGACAAAGCAGGCAGAAGGACCTTCACATTGTTTAACTTACAGTATTTTCATGGGCCTTTTGTGGTTACTGCATGTACATTATCAGTGAGACAAATTAGGCAGGATGACTCTTATGGATACAAAATGATACATTAAAGCTTCAATTCCTAATAAATGTATCAAAGTAAAACATGACTCACCAGATGGGAGTGGGTGAATGTATTTATTGAGCACAACTTTTAGAGCATATGTGAATTATAATTCTTGCAAAACAAAAACATGATTATTATAATAATGTACCATATTCATTTTAGTAATTAAAGGATTAGGGTGTATAAATAGCATCCATAGATTTGAAACTGAATAAAACTTGTTTCTTACTTTTTGTTTCATGGAACAAAACCTTGCTCGGCTCTGTATGGCAACAGTATGATTTTTTGAGGTGTGTTTCACTACATTTTCACTCCCTATGTTTATGGAGTAAGATATACATTATTAAAATTGTTCATTCATTATACATCTGTTTAGGAATCATATAAAATTACAATAACAAGAATTAATATTCCTAATAATTAAAACCTATATAATACCATGGTTGTTTGGGATCCTATAATGTCCAGGTTACCTGATCTAATATCTAGTGCAATGAATATTTAACATTTTCTAACAATGGTTACCATACATCACATGAATAATAGTAGAAGTTATATATCCTTGTTCACATAACTCATAGTCTTCTACTCCATTCTTTGGTTAAAAACTCAATGTCATTGAACTGTTTTTTGTTGATAGGGGGCTGTTTTCTGTTGAATCATTTGTCCACAGTATCCATTTAATACTATGTGAACTGTCGTTGAATTGTTTTTTGTTGATAGGACTGTCACACACTTTCAGGGGGGCTGTTTTCTGTTGAATCATTTATCCACAGTATCCATTTAATACTATGTGAACTGTCATTGAACTGTTTTTTGTTGATAGGAGTGTCACACACTTTCAGGGGGGCTGTTTTCTGTTGAATCATTTATCCACAGTATCCATTTAATACTATGTGAATTGTCGTTGAACTGTTTTTTGTTGTTAGGAGTGTCACACACTATCAAGGGAGAGTTGTCTTCTACTGAATAATTTATTAATAGCATTCAGTCCTTGCTATAGTATATGAACTGTTGTTGAATTGGTTTTTGTTGATAGGAGTGTCACACATTGTCATGGGGGTGTTGTTTTCACTGAATCGTTTATTAATAGTATTCAGTCCATGTTATGTGAACTGTCATTGAATTGTTTTTTGTTGATAGGAGTGTCATACTCTGTCAATGGGGGAGTTGTCTTCTGCTGAATAATTTTTCGAAAGTATTCAATCCATGCTATGTGATAGCCATTTGTTATGTATCAACTTGTGCTTACTTTGATTTGTTTGGGTTCTTCATAACTGTTCTTTAGGTAAAATAAGATGGTTTTTCCCCTATTCTTCCCTCACCTGTTTCATGTTTTTTTGCCAATTCTTTCAGTCTATGCATCCTGCTAACTCTGTGTTGCTACATCCTTTAACTTGATAATTGTTTTTATGTCTTTGATCTTCCTATTTTCTAGTGCTTCTACCTCTTGAATCTCTTCTCCCAATTTGAAGATTTTTCTTCTCCTCCTACTTTGAGATTTTTTTTTTCTTTTCGGTCTTTTTTTGTTTTTTGCTTACTCACCTTCTTAGCTTACTGTCCCATTTCTACCCTGACAGCTGTACTGTGGTAATGTTGTTCTTTATACTGCTTTGTTTGCTTCTTCAGTGACTGATTCTTGGACTTGCCTTATAGGAATATCTTATTTTCTGGCATTAGACTTCCTCTGTTTTATCTTGGAGAACTCTGTTTAACATCATTCCTTTATGCAGACTTTTTGGGAAGTTTTTCTCATTGGGTGTATATTTCAACCACTCTCTGGACATTTGGCAACTCCTAATCCTGCATCTTCTGCTATGACATCCTATCTTCTTTGAGAGTTTGTTCATTTGGGCTGGTTGGTCAGGTTTCTAAATCAATATTGATTACAATTCAATATCTGATACATTTATGAGTCTGTATCAGCTTGTTTTGAATGGACTCAACCTTCTTCTTTACATTTCCAAGGTATGGAGCTTGTGGCTTCCAAGGCTTTCATGTATTATTTTCTTCCTATGCATGAGATTCTCTATCTTTTGATATATCTCATTTCATTTCTGTCCTCTGTAGTGAATCCTGGCAGATCAGTGGAGTATACCTTGTGATACTATGTCTTTTTTCATTTCTCCACCACCATCCCTTTCCATTTTATTTTTGTAATGACTCAGAAGTTTTCACATGACTCTGAGCATCTGTTTTCCTCTACCCCATCTGTACTTACAGCAGTTCTGGATACTTTCACCTTTTCAGTGTTCAGTCTCCTATGGAGTGTCTTTATACTTCACTGTTTTTATATATTTCAATAACTCCACTGTTATTTCTTACAGGTAAGTACTCGTTCCCTGGACTTTTGCTATTTGTTCTCACTACAGCAACATCTAGTGGTTGGCCTTCCATTTTCTGGGAGTTCTGAATTTAGTGTCAAATAGTTTGTCACACACACAAACAGAATCCTTCAGACAGATTGTTATTTACATGTACTGATCCTTTTTTAGATTTTTCTAATTTCTGGCTCTCCTCCACACCAAGCTTCCACTATTTTAATGATTACTAGTCACACAGTCAGTGGCCCTAGGCATATTCCCTCTGAGTCTCTATTGGTCCACCCTGTTTCTGTATGCTGCCTTCCTTTTCAATTTCTTTCCAAGGTGTTGTCTTCAATTAACAGCACCCCATGTACCAGTTTTGTATTTTTCATTGATCCTGTTTTGCCAGATCAATCGTGATTTCTGCTCCTTCATCTTATAGTAATCCTGTGGTCTCTAATTATTGGAGTTCCCTTTTTATATCAGACTTGGACATCCATCTTTTATCAGGATGTTCCACACTCCCATCTTCATATATGACTTTTGTTTGGTCCCTTGAAGGACAGGCAGGCCCGGCATGGCCAGGTGGTTAGGGCGCTTGACTCACAGTCAAATCCCCATCACACCAAATATGCTCACCATTTCAGCCGTGGGGGCGTTATTATGTGACGGTCAATCACATTATTTGTTGGTAAAAGAGTAGCCCAAGAGTTGGTGGTGATGACTAGCTGCCTTCCCTCTAGTCTTACACTGCTAAATTAGGGATGGCTAGTGCAGATAGCCCTTGTGTAGCTTTGCACGTAGTTCAAAACAAACAAACAATGAAGGACAGGCTAGTTTTTTTTTTTTTTTTGGCTATCCATCCATTCTTGCAATTTATCAAAGCAGGTGTGTGATTTATTATATATCAGTGCTGATCCATTTACCTCTCCATTGCTCAAAGTCGTCTGACTTTTCCTTGCATTATTTTTTTCTCCTAGCTTTTGAGCACAGTCATTCTGTTTCTTTGATTCTCTGGTGGAAGTGTAGCTTTGTCAACGATCTTTTCTCTCTTTCTCTAGTTCTTACAGACTTATTCCAAATCTTTCTAACTAGTCAACCTCTTCTTCTGGACCAAAACATCTGTTTAATTCTCATAGCTCTTACATGTCCTCCATTCAAACTTTTGTTCACCTGTTTCCTTCACCATCTTTCTCTTACAATATATTGTTTCTTTTCACTTGTGAGAGACATTGCTTTGATACTTTTACCTTGGAAACCTCCCATATTTGTTCCTCCAGGGACAGGTTGATTTTCTTCCTAAACTGCTCCTTCATCCCCAAGACTTGGGCTGATTAGATTGGAGATTGGAAGTTTTCTCCAATCACTCTCCCTGCCTTTTCTTATCTGTATGACTGTTCCTATCCAGTTCATCTCCTTTGTCCTATTAAAGTACGTCTGTGTTATTTGCTTTTACATCGCCTTTTGAAACAATATTCTTCTCATGACTTCTTTCCTTTTGCTTTGACTGGTTGGGTTAAACAACTCATCCAGCTTATCTATTCTCATATGGGATATGACACATTTGTGTTTTTCCTGCCATCACCTTTCAAGTTCATTATTTCATGGCTTCTCTTGCCTCTAGCCATTTACATCCCCTGGATGAGATCTTGCAGACGAGGATGTGGATGGGCCCCAACATATCAGCCATTACTTACAACATATCACAGTTTCATCTGCTTCTGGGTTTCATCTCCTCCTGCCACCATTCTACAATCTCCCCAGATACTCTAAGGAGGCGAATTGTTGTTTATTTCATTTTTTTACAGCTCCTACATCTCCATTATTATATCTATATGACTATATACTGGAAATGATAGAACTCACCATATGATCGGTGTTACCTCATAAGGAATACTTCTTTCTCCTGAAATCCATATCGAGTAGGAAACAACAACCACCCCTAAACTTTGAAACAGGCTATTCCTAGTGGATATACTAGCCTTATGGATCTTGTATTCGATGCAGGTTTGGGATGCTTTATCCCTGTATCTGCTTATTCTGGTAACTATTTCTAATATACTGCATGACTTGACCTATTGCCTAGCTACACTGCACATACGTGCTTACCCCCTGAAATATACAGGCCAGTTGAACATTCCTTACATTTTGCTTATCTATGCGACACTTGTACACCACACAGGTGGTTCTTTTGAACAGTACCTTTTGCTCTATCACCTCCATTGTGTAAAGAGCTTCCCTGCTTAAGATGCTGATAGATCTGGTTTACCTAGAAGTGTAAATTTTATTGTAATGTTCTGGAGGGAGAATGTGGGCTTTATCCACTACATCCAGGTAATGAAACAACAGTCAAGGAGGAAGAATGTGGGCTTTATCGACTACGTCCAAGTAATGAAACAACTAAAGGAGAGAGAATATGGGCTTTATCGACTACGTCTGGAAAACGAAACAACAGTCAAGGAGGGAGAATGTGGGCTTTATCCACTACATCCAGGAAAAGAAACAACAGTCAAGGAGGGAGAATGTGAGCTTTATCGACTACATCCAGGAAAAGAAACAACAGTCAAGGAGGGAGAATGTGGGCTTTATCCACTACATCCACATTCTCCCTCCTTGACTGTTGTTTCTTTTCCTGGGCTTTATCGACTACGTCCAGGTAATGAAACAACTGTCAAGGAGGGAGAATGCTTTATCCACTACATTCAGGAAAAGAAACAACAGTCAAGGAGGAAGAATGAGGGCTTTATTGACTGCATCCGCGTAACCAAACAATAGTCAAGGAGAGAGAGTGTGGGCTTTATCGACTACATCCAGGTAATGAAACAACTGTAAAGGAGGGAGAATGTGGGCTTTATCGACTACCTCCAGGTAATGAAACAACTGTAAAGGAGGGACAGTGTGGGCTTTATTTACTACATCCAGGTAATGAAACAGCAGTCATGGAGGGAGAATATGGGCTTCATTTCCTATGTCCAGGTAATGAAACAGCAGTCATGGAGGGAGAATATGGGCTCCATTTACTATGTCCACGTAAAGAAATAACAGTCAAGGAGAGAGAATGTGGGCTTTATCGACTACGTCTACGTAAAGAAACAGCAGTCAAGGAGAAAGAATGTGGGCTTTATCGACTACGTCCAGGTAATGAAACAGCAGTCATGGAGGGAGAATATGAGCTTCATTTACTATGTCCACGTAAAGAAATAACAGTCAAGGAGAGAGAATGTGGGCTTTATCGTCTACGTAAAGAAACAGCAGTCAAGGAGAAAGAATGTGGGCTTTATCGACTACGTTCAGGTAACGAAACAGTAGTCAAGGAGGGGAAAATGTGGGCTTTGTCGACTACACAGGTAGTTTGGAGAGAAGTCCTCTCAATATATCCAGAATACCTATTTTGTTTATTGTAGAGGAGACATCTCAATTCACCCTAAACACATACCTTGTATGTAAAATATTCAGATATTAGCCAGTTAACTAAGAATCCTTTTTTCTAAAATAGCTTAACAATTAATTATAAAATTAGAAACAATATTGTGTCGCTTACTTACTTCGCTATATTATCAATATTAGATGAAAACCTTTTTATCTAAAATTACATTAACTATTGCATTATAGCTAACAATTATTTATTACAAATTAAATAGTCTATATAATGGCAACATCTGTTAATTAATTTTCTAATTCTAACCTTTTCGTAATTAAAGTAATCCATTTACCTATTTAGTGTTAACTAATATTAATTCCTACACCATAAAAACTCCTGGCAAAAGAAGCCTATTGTATAATTCAATAGAATGATCCCTTAATGCCTTCTTACAGTTATTGATTATGTATTTACTTTAAATACAAAAATCCAAATAAACTACAGAAATTATAGTACTGATGCTCTACATCAACAGTCTTTATTTAGGCTTATTGATTTGCAATACTACGTCGTTAGTTTTTCTTTATTGATTGTCATTCTTGAAATGTGGAAAGAAAGAAGAGTAAAATAAAAATAATAGAATAAAAACTTTTCTATTCAAGCAGTTTTAACGCTGTGTAAACCCCTTTTAAATTACTGCATCGAAAGATTTTTCTTTTTTATACCTTTGCATAGGGAGTAACAAAAGACACAAGTGTAAATGGTAAAATATTGCTCATAAAAGGTATTTATTACATGACTTGCTTGATCGATTTGATTGGTGATTGGTCAGGTGCTATGAAGACTTCTTTCTCTCTCTCTCTCCTTGATGTTAAATTAATATTCTGTTAAATTCTAGATGATTTACACTACGAAATCAGGCTTTATACAATTCGCTGGTAATTACACTGCTACATCTTGTAGCACCATGTCCATAAATATAACACTTGTAGCATTTAGTGCTTTTTTAACACTTGTCTTAATTTGACTGTGTAATAGTCCAACACTTCTCAAAGAATTTCTTTAGCAAATCATCATATGTTCATATCATATAATCAAACGCTATAACTCACGTCTCACGTGGCCAACAATATTTTGTCCGCATACATTCAATTACTCATTACACTGTTGTCCCGTCACGTTGTGAACGTCTTATATATATACAAGACTAACACATGTCTAGTAAATGCTAAAGCATTCACGAAGGAACAGGATATTTCTAGAAAGAGGTGGCGTGATACTAGTCACTGATCTCGCTGACGCAACACTGCCCCTCCTTAGTATTGTTCGTCCCGAACAATAGTCA